ATTATTAATTTTATTAGTATTAGTATTATTATTATTATGGAATTGATTTTAGATAGAAAATGTTAGGTGGATAAGTGAATGACAATTGACATGTACACTAGTAGGTCCGTTAGATTTTGTTTTGTCTTTTTAATAATGTACATAATTGCTTGGGCCCCTATGAAAAGAAATAAAAAGAGAAGAAAAAAAAAAGAAATCTACAAGATATTGTGGGGTTAATGCATTTTTGTAAAGTTTGGGGAGCTTTTCTTTTTCTTTTTTTTTTTTAAAAATCCCTCCCAAGAGAGTTTAATTATGTACATAGTATTTTTTAAATGAAGAGGACAAGCAACCAGTGATACTAAAACTAAAATAGTTTTACAATTTTGGAGTAATTTTAGACTAAAGTTTTCAGATGTTAAGACTTACTATTTAAGGTTTATTACAATCGTTTACCAAGTTAATTAATTTATATTATTAATCGCGTGTAGAAGTTTAACATGTTTCATATTTATCATGATACATTATCACGACATATAATCACTTATCGTGAATTTAGAATTTGAAATTTATAAGTTCAAAAATTCATTATATATACATATTTAGTGGATTTCTCAACAAATATAAAAAATATGAATCAAATTACTGAGTTTTGTTGAACTCATATTTTCCACAGTAGCTCCCTACTTATACCAAAATTATTAAATTTTATTGAATCTATACTTTCCATGCTAGCTGACATATAGTTAATTTGTTAATGACAACTTTTTCGATGAAATAAAGATTAAAAAAATTTAAAATATAGTTGAAGAAGCTTTACTGGATACACAATTTTTTTTTGTGTGTGTTCAATTATATAAGTTGTTATTGTTCTATTCCCAATTTAATTATATGATCTCAAGCATACAACTTATCAATAGCTTCATTAAATATTGGATTACCTTCTGTTGAGTTATATCATATATTCATATTCTAAAATACATTAGTCTAAGTGGAAATTAATTACAAGACAATTTCATTGATGGATGATAACTAATATCAAGAATTCAAATTCTTGGTGACATTTAATGAGTAGGTACAATTTTGAGCTACCAATAAAGTTCCAATTTATCATCAGTGTCTTACATAATGCATCAAAATATTTATGAGAACAATGTTTTTTAATGTGGTGTTGATGTGATATGTCTGGAGAATGGAAAGAATGAAACAATATATGAATGACAGGATTTGTTTTCTTATTATTAATAATATAAAAGCTTATATTAAATTGTTATTGTTACTAATTTTTGTTAGAAAAGTAAATTTTAAAAACACGGAAATATATAAACTGATTTTGATAAGTGTAATCATGTCCTTAAGAAATTTAAAAATCCTATTTAATTTGTTGCAAAGATGGTAGTAGAGCTCCTTCAAGATTCTGCATTAAACAGTTAGCACTCTCCCTCAAATATTTCAAGAGAGCCTTCAGGGATCTTTGTTCTTACTCTCAGTACTAATCCTAAAAAATAATTCCTAAATGGATTTTAAGCCTTATATTATGTTAATCTATTAGAAATCTGCAATGCTTTTCCAGATTCAAGATCAGTTTCAAATATCCCTACTGTAATGCCTTTGTTGGAGAATCTCTTACTCTACTTTTCTCTCACAACAGTTAACATAATATGGTCATAGATCTTAGAGTTGTAACTTGATCATGAGCAAATTTGTTGACGTTGCACCTATGAAGTATGGAAAGTGCTAAACATTGGGAACTACCCGGAGAGGAGTTAGGAACAGGAACAAGGAGAAGCGAGTATAAAGAATCTTCTCATCCTAAGGTCCTCCTTTGGTAAGTGGCAAGCGGGATGGGGTTTGTATTTTCACTTGTTTAGTTATCATTGACATGCAGCTTGTCTGTGTCATACACTACTTATACACTCCAAAGTAATATATGGCATGAGAAGTTAACTGCAGTGACTTTTGGAATAACTTTAACACATGTTTTCAAACCAGGCATCAACTCACAGCCTCTTTCCGTTCATGGAACCAAAGATTAGCATGATTTCTAGCCTTAAATGCGAGCTATGGTCATGGTTTGCTTCAGAACTACAGTTGATGCAATGCCAATTCTTATAGTGGCCTACTAAACAGAGAAATATCTAGTCAGATTACTGTACAGAGATGTTACTTAGTCTTTACATTACAATTTGCCAACCCAAAAACTATAATCACCATATACTTGTTTCAAAATGAAATTTAAAATATACATCAAGTATAGTCTGTAATAATCAGCATTATCTTAGTGCTGTTTTATTGATAAAACCTTTCTGATAAAAAAAAAACCTGCAAAACTATAAAGCTAAAGCTAAAGCTAATTCTTTTTTTCTTCTCTTTTTTGATAACCAAGAAATCCTACGGGGCCAGCGACACACGTTCCCAAACTTTGTGGATAATGGGCCTACTCCTCTACCCTTCATCACGTAAATGCCAGGTTTTTTGTTTGCGGCAGGGTTCAAATCCGTGACATGCGTCTAACACACACATCACCTCTTACCACAAGGCCAACGCCACTAGGGGCACAACTGATGCTAATTCACGTCATAACTATATAACATCAAACAAATAAGCACATTCAGACAGAATATTGTACTATTTAAAATCCATAATTACAAAATGAAATCAATGCATTTATCAATTTCTTTTTGAGATAGGTGATACATGAAGCAAACTGGGACACCAATCAGACAGTAAAATTAGGACAAAAAATGCTCAATATTTGGTGTCAGTATAAGTGGCACTATACAATCAATCTGCTAAACAGGAATCTAATCCCCTAGCAAAAGCAAAATCAGGCAGGGTTAACACAATAGAAGAAACGGGGAAAATTCAGTAGTTAAGATCATGTTCAGCGTTCCAGAACGACAATAAAAGGTAGACAAATGGTAGCATAACTTGCTTTAGCATCAAAGGAAATGCACAATGAAAGAAAGTGATTCTTGCACTGAATAGGGATATGAACCTATTCAAGTCACGGAGGAGGTATGGTGTTGTAAATCTCCCAGACATCATCAACGTAACTTGATTGGCAAAACAAGGACAAAAAGATTAAGGTATAGTGGAGGGCTCTGATCTTCATACAGGAATGGTGCCGGTTACAGGAGAGAGAAGTGGCACCTGCCACCCGAAAGAGGAAAGAAAGAAGAAAACATTGGTTGGAAAGGCCGTGTAAGGCCTCCTGCTAACAGGTGGAAACTACTTAAATCTCTACTATGATCGTAAAGACTCTGATACCACATAAAAATAGGAAACTTTTTTAATTGACTTTTGCTAATTGATAATATAGAAGCGGAACTCCTTACATAGGAGTCTTAAGCTATTTAAGACATGATAGATAATCACTATCCTATAGAATATTATAATATTTTTTTCTATACATGAATCTAAACACGTTCTCTTAGCATTCAACAGATACTTTCTAGTTTCCCTTAACACAGATAGCAATTACTGCACATTGAACAGCCTTTTCTCACTAAGATGTCTTGTGCAAGGAAGATTTTATTCAAAGCTTTCCTATGAGCACCTTCGTTTCCACAACATTTTCCATGGACACTCCTTATTCAAATTCAGTTTTTAGTTTATGCAACTTATATTTCTATTAACCTTATAATTTTCACGTAATAATGTCTTCTTAAAAAAATTAAGCCTACAGTTGACTTATTACTTGAATAACCTTTAACTCAATTATTATTATTTTGCCTAATTCTATTAAAATTTATCCAACCTCATTCTTCATCATTCAAAATCTAACCTACTCGAAAAACTATTTTCACATTAGAAAGAATAAGCATTTGTTGGTTACCTTAAATTTGAACTCTTGGTAATCCCTCAAAAGCACCAGCTTGTGGAGCTACTATAGTCTGGCCTCAAGTGCAGGTGCCATAGGGTCATCCCTTAGATAGGGGGTCTGCAGCTGTTGCAATTGATTTTGATTTTGCTTCAACATTTCTTCCTACTGACTCTGACCAAGCAATTTTCTGAATTAGATTGACTTGACTCAACTTCTTGGCAAGCAACTCTTTCACAGTCCTGCTCTGGAAAAATTGTCTTTCAGACTTGTAAATCAAATGAACTCCCCATCGCCTCGTAATGTGCCTTTGGATAGTCATAGAAGCCTCAAATAGGCCATACTGGTTAAAGTCTCTAACTTCTGTGTCAGACAACTGCAGCAAAGAATGAAATGGTATGTAGGCGAAGCAAACACACCAGTTATAACTTCTAGACGTGGTACTGACTTTACATTCTTTCTCCAGCACTTTAAGCTCTTCTGAATGATTATTGCATATCAATTTGACTTTGATGAAAGTATGGTCATATTTCCCTGATAGCCCTGAATCAGGATCGTGGACACCTGCACCCATGCAAGTGACACAGCATATAGCAAAGCCCTCGAACCTATTATCATACCAATCCTGAGGCAGTTTAAGCAAGATTTTTCCTCAATACTCTGATGTTTGAACCATGTAGGAATTGCACACTCAGGAAAGATTATAGAGCAAGTCCTCCGATCACCTATACTCAGTGAAAGAAACAAGCTGAGAATCTGATCCAAAACCGAGTTATCATTGCTCTTTTCTGTATATGATTGCTGATTAAAACAATAGTTGGTGAATGAGACCAAATACAACCTTGGGTATATCGACAGAGCTAGAATACTTTGTCTGGCCAGAAAATCTTCTGCATACAGTTCCTTTATACTTTGAGGAAGTTCGGGAAGTTTCTTAAGTTCATGACACTGTGTTATGTTGAGATATTGAAGTCGACAAAGTTGACTGATTCTATCAGGTAGAAAAACAAACTTGTTTCTGCTCAGGTTTAGTTCCACTAAAGAAGTCAAGCGTGTAAGAGCATTAATCTTGTCACCAGATAAATTGCATCCACTGAGATCCAAACTTTTCAATTCATGCAAACCACAAAATGCATGAGTGAATGTCATACCTGTAGCAAATTGAGACCGTCTCCCGTCTACTTTTTAATGATAGGATTTTAAGTTTGCTCAACTTTTCCATAGAATCTGGTAGTTTCCAAATGGCAGTGTTTCCAGCATAGAGCTCCTCCAACTCATCTAGATCACCCAGGCTTTCTGGAAAAGTTGCCAGATTTGAGCAGCCTTTAGAATCAAAACTTTCAGTTTTCTCATCTTGCTAAAACTGGCTGGAAGTCTTACAAGATTTTCACATGAATGCAAATCAAGTAAGCTGATGCCAAATAGCTGTCCTATTGACGATGGCAGTTCCCGAATTGCAGTACATCCCAAAAGAAGCTCTGATAGTAATTCCATATTCCCCTGAATTTCTGCAAGAACTTCTAATTTCTCACAACCAGACAGGTTGAGGCTCTCAAGAGATTCCATTTGAATACTGCTCAGTAAGAACTTGAGATTTTTACAGTTCTTCATGTTCAGAGAAATAAGCTTTTTGAGATTGCCAATGGATGGATGAACCTCAACCAAGCTTAAACAACTTTTCAGCACAATTCTTTGCAGATTTGGAATCTCAGAAAAATTGGGTGTTCGGAGTAAATTTTGTGAAAAACTTAAATTGAGAATTGTCAGCTTGTCAAATGCCTGCTTATAAAAAGGTGAAGAATAAAAATGTCAGCTTTAACTAACTCTTTCTGTAAAAGAAAAATCAATGCTTAGCACTGTCAAGAAAGAGATCAACCAATACCTTTGGTTCCTTGCAAATTTCAACAAGAGAACTAAAAGTCATGTTGAGCCCAACAAGGTTTCGTGGTTGAAAATTTGCTGGTAAAGATTCAAAACTGTAGTAAAACCAATCAAGCCATTTCAAGCTACTGGGGAGAAATTCAATAATGTCAGAAACTGGTTCATAATGTCAGACCTCCTCCTCTTTGACAATGAGTAACCTTAGACAAGGCATATTTCTGAAAGCTTTAGTCCACTTGCATATATGTTGATCTGAGCCAACTGGAACCATTATGCCTTTAACCGACTCTGTCCACTGAAAAGAAAAGAAAAGAACTATGTAAACACTAAACCAAAATTCTATTCTCCTTTGAAAAAGCATAATGGCCTTCTGGAAACACCGACTGATTTACATCTGGCTTCCATTTGGAGATCAATCAAATAGTTTTCTGAAATCTAAATTCATTAGATATTGCTTTCTATTATCATATTACTCGGTTATTCCCTAACCAAAGATGCATTCTCCAATGAACTTAAGATTCTAATCCCCTACATTAGAAAAAGCTCTTCCCTAAATTCCTAAATTTACTTGCTTCTTCAACTTGAATGTTAAGTGCATACATGGAAGCTCTAAAAGAAAATTCTTTCAAAAGTTCTCCATGTAGGGTAGCATCTAAGAATTGTTAAACCACAAAAAAGAAAAGATATAGTGAGAAGTTCATGACAGTGTGTTATGTTGAGATATTTCCTGTACTATGCTTCAACTATTTCCTCACTAAATTCTCTTCTAAGAGGGATAAAACTTTGCAACAATCTAATTTACAAGAAAAATGTTCTTCTCGAAACAATACCAAATGTCATCAGTCAAATTAGTTCTCAGACAAATAACAACATTACCGAAACAAGATGCTACGAAGAATTACTTAGCACGTAAAAGTAAATTGACATCACTCACTATCTACAAATAGTAAAGGAAGTGCTCACTAAGCTGTTCCATTAAGACAAATAAAATGAACAGACACATAGACAGTTTCTCTTCGCAGCTCAACGGGGTAATTCCTGAATTTTATTCAACTAAAGGCTGGAATCTCTTTCTTAGAAGGAACTTGAATGTCTGGGAAGTGGAAAGATTATGTCTTTGTTTCAGCTGCTTAGCAACATAGTTTTGGGCTATAATAAAATAGATTCTATCATATGGAAGGGACATCTCACAGGTCTCTTTACAGCAGAAGTTGCTACAGTTTGTTGGAAAGGGTTTCTTGGCCTTGGAAAAGGATCTGGTTTAGCAAGGCTCCTTTGATGGTCTCTTGCTTCTCTTGGATTGTGGCTAGGGAAGCTTGTCTTGCTTATTCCAACTCCAAAAGAGGGGATTTCAGCCTTGCAGTAGGTGCCTACTGCCTACAGTGTGAAGAACACTCTGAAGATGTTGGCCACCTCTTCTTGCATTCTAGAGTTACTAGTCAGTTGTGATGCATGTTTTTAGCAATATTTGGCATGTCTTAAACCATGCAAAAATCCATTTTTGAGCTACCGTAATCCTGGAAGACTAGGAATACCATTCCTCAAGCCATTTGGTGGACCATATGGCTTGAAAGGAATAGCAGAAGTTTTTAAGGCAACAAAAGGAACATACAAAGCCTTAAACAAAGATGTATATTGAACTTTCAATTCCATTTTCTTTTCTTTTCATAGGCTCTTTTATTGAGACCAAATCGTTTTGCCAGCTTTCTGGTGCAACCTGGTTATTGTACATGATGAAGATGCAATCCTAGATACAATAGAGGATCTGCACAATCTTTCACTATGTTTTATGGCACTGGCTTAGTGCAAGTATTTATAGAATCTTTAATTACTTATCAAAACAGAAAAACCACTAAAGATTGTAGAGTTGAATTGTGATAACACACAAAATGCACATTAGTTTTTACTTGGTTCTTATTTTATTGGCAAGAGATGTTAATACTCAAAACAAATGAGAGACGCAAGCTTGAAAGATAGCAGGAACATGCACATTCAGTGTTACAAGAGCATGCTTGTGGCAAAGATGTTGCAATTGATTTAATTGAGAAACATACCCAGTGGTTTGGATGGTGAAAGGCGATAAAAGGCGACAAGGGTCTGCCTCTCCACAAGGCGAGGCGAGCGGCAACACGCTCACCTTTTTGAAGTGCGGCACCAATTAATACCAATAAATTAAAATATTTAATTGCATATGTAAATAATCAAAATCTCAATAGAAATTACATATAAGCAAATATTTCAATTCAAAAACTGAAAATAAATAGTACATACTGAAATTCTAGAACTTGAATGAGAAAAAAATATAACAAAAGTCAAAACAAAGGTAGAAGTGACTCTAAAGTATGTAGAAGAAGGAAAAAGAAACAGAGGAAGAAGAAATATGATGAAGAAAAGAATAAATATGTGATGGTTGGACTTTGGAGTCGACGAAAAAGTCTAGATGGTCGCTGGAGGAGTCTAGTCGAAAACGCTAAAATTACCTTTTAACTTTTAAAACCCTATAGTCGAAGCCTTTTTTTAAGAAAATACAAAAGGCGACGCCTTTCTCACCTCTCGCCTCTTGCCTTTTGTCGCCATGGCGTCTCCTTTTGAAGATCGCCTCGCCACAAAGCTAAAAGGCGATGAAGGGTCACCTCGCCTCTCGCCTTTGGAGATGAGGTGATCGCCTTTCACAACACTGAACATACCATAGCATGAAGTTCACATAAAGAAAAATGTTCTAGCCTTAAAAGGTTGTATACCTCGATGTCTATTGTCTAGTTTTTAGGAATCCCGAAAGAATGAAAAGGAAAATGACAAATCTCAAGCATCCTCAAAATGATTAGAGGACATGCATACCTGATTTGTATAAAAAACAGTTTCTATATCTTTTTCATGCCATATTCGACTATGATTCCATGGCTTGTCCTGATCAACATCACGTGCCACTTGCTGACCCATTTGTTCTATCAAATCATGCATCTCAACCATTCCCTCTGAAATATAAAAAAGTGACTTTTTAGAAAGGACATCCATTCCAATCTCTGATTTAAAGCCAAAACTATTTAGAATTGTTATCACGTCATCTCTCCGTTTTCCCCTGAAGAAGCATGCAATATCAAGAAATATATTCTTGTCTTCATAGGTCAATCCATCTAAACTTAAGCTGAGCTGCTTAATAATTTCTTCGTATCCAGTATCTTTGAGTCTATCCAATGCACTTCTCCAGTCAGTTATGCCTTGTTTGTAGAGAAACGAACCCAAAACCATAAGAGCTAAGGGTAAGCCTTTTGCATAATCTACTACAGACTTGGAGAGTTTAAAAAACTCTTTATCGGGAGTCCTTCTTCGAAAGGCGTACCAACTAAAAATTTCAAGAGCCTCACTTTTAGCCAATTCAGGAACAGAATATAACTCGTCGTGGCAACGAAGTAAATCTGCATTTCTGGTTGTTGTAATGATTCGACTGCCATCACCAAACCAATCATGCTTTCCAACTAAATACTCCAACTGGTGGTCATCATCCACATCATCAAAAACAATTAAAACCTTCCTGAGGCAAAGCTTTCTTTTTATCATGTCAGCTCCTTCATAGAAACTTGCTATATCCATAGATTTTTCATTTAGGATTATTGAAAGAAGTGTCATTTGCAAGTGTTTCATCCCATGCTTCTTTGAATCTTCTCGAACATTTGCAAGAAAACAAGACCCTTGAAACTGGTTAGAAATATTGTCAAAGATTTTTCTTGCAACTGTTGTCTTCCCCACACCACCCATCCCCCATGTCCCCACAAAATGGACACCACCTAATCCAACTTTCAACAACAATTCCACTCCACCAGTACGAGATTCAATTCCCACTAAATACTTCTCAATAGCTGAAACTGTGTGGTGCAAATATTGAAATTTCTCATTTATAATCTGGTCAATACATTCTGCTTCATTCTGTGCTATGTAATAATAACTAATAAGAAAGGTAGTGAAATATACTCAACACTAAGAGAGCCCATATTCAATGTAATTCTTCTTTGGAACTTGTATAATATATGCCAAGAAACAAGATAGTTTAAGTAACATGAAATCTTGTTAATGTTTTTACTTTAAGCTGTCCTTTGTGCCACCCATCTTACAGATTCAAGCATACAAACATTTTCATTCCCATTCTGAACAAAGATCACACTTTATCCGAACAAGATGCAGTTCAAACCAGATTTTCATCATTATGTAGTCAGCTTAGTGCAATTTGAGTTGTATTTTGTATGAATAAAAAGAATTGTGTGGAGATAGATGTTGACATGTGAAAACAATTCCTGGCTTTAAAAGGCATAATATTGTTTGCCAAGCTTTAAATTCTGGAAAAGGAAAAAGAAATTTAAAAGATAAAGCAAGATTATTCCAGACAGATAGTCATTTGTGCCTGCCACTCTACTGGTGCCAAAGCAGATAGACTAATTTAGTAATTGGTCTAATGAGCACATGATATTACATGTATTTTTAGCCAAGAAACGAGAGGTCAATATCAACACAATCTAACTTCATAATAACAAGTTTAAAACATTTAATTTGAATCAGTATAATCATTAACCATAGCAGTTCAAATGATTACAAATGAGCAAAGAGCTAGATGTTGGAACTCTGCTCATATAACATTTGAACTGAGCGCTTATGTGCAGCTAGAGCTAGGGTCAAGAAACACTTTCAAAGTGCTCACTCAAGTTTAATTGTAACTTCTTCTGTGAAGAAAATGTTCATTTGCTGTTTGTGACTTCTTTTCTACTCTTGACTCTTCAAACCTTTTCTTTAAATCAATAAATAAAAAAACTATTTAATAAAATCAGCACATAGTGCTGTACATGTATAATAATATACCGGTTACAGACAACTCAAACTCATTTATGACTCTGCTAGGAGCTGAGAAGCTCTCTCATATAACCAGCATCATAGAAATTTGTCACGACCCGATTTCTCAAGTCATGATGGCACCTACTATAACCCACCAGTAGGTAAGCCAACCCGTAACCCGGAACAACAAGTAATGGGTCTGAGGGTAGAAACTAAACAAGAGTAGGCAAATAACAATATAAACAGGCGGAAACAAACCAAAAATATATACACAAATAAAGATCCCTCCCAGAACCTGGAAGTCACCAGTACAGAGCTACTACAAAATGAGTACAAGTC